CTTTGCTCCTGTTAGTACCAGTTGCCCAAGTGAGTTTTATTCTGTTTGAGCTCCCGGCCAGGGTTGTAAGTTCTTTTACACAATCTAGCACACATTGTGACACCTGCACGCAAATGAATTGAATCTTCGAAGTGAACGCAAGTATTTATCTGACATTTTCTGGAAGAGAAAACAGAATAGTCTGCGTAAATTCGACAAAGTTCTGATTAAATTGGAGATTTTATGGATTTTTGAGAAACCTTCAAAGATCAGCGGCAAATAAACGAATGTTTTAAAAGCTGTAGTCAAACGAAAGAAAAGCTGCAACTTCCAAAGGCGTACACGAATCTATTTGAATTTTTGTTACAGTATTTAGAAGGCTTTATGCTATGAATGTACTAAGTCTTATTCCAATCAAATGATTGATGAATTTTTCAGAAATTCTTAAAAATCAAGCGCAATAAAAATGTTGAACATTTTTACACGAGCTGAAAAACACTCTAACTTCCAACTGAGTCGAGGTGCAGGATTCTATTTGCGTTTACCTCACCGCAGAAAGAATATTTTAAGCTTGAGAAGAGGTGTCATTGAATTGATTTTTCAGAATCCTTCAAATATCGGGCTCGAATGAGCGAATGTTCCAGCTTGAAACCAAAATTGCGTAACTCCTCAAGGCGTGCAAGAATTCACTTATATTTATCTCATAGTACTTTTCTTTCTATATCTTTAGAGGTGAGAAATTTCTGAGAAAACATAATGCAAGAAGAATCTCTTGAGAGTAGTTGAGAAAATGGTCATAAGAAGTGAGGATATTTTCTGCATCGTTGAACACATGTTGAAATTTTGGACGCTGTAGGGCTCTGAGGGATAAAACCCTGATTTCCTCATCGACTTAATATATTTAATTCTGAACCAAATCTGAAAAGCTTACACCCGAAAAAACCCGATCAGCGCACCAAAACCAACCCTCAAAAATCCCAGAAAGGGTTACTCAACTGGGCAAATTTCCAGATACCAAAGCAGCCTTTTGGACATCTCCCACGGTCCAGACAACCAATATGGACCCCCACCCGGCCTCCCAGTGGAACACTACCTCCATTCCGGTCATCCGCGCGATGAAAGAAGAGTGCGAAGATCCCTCAGCAACGATCCAGAAACAGAAGTGGGCGTCAATCGAATAATTCGCGTAGTTAGTACAGGAGATCTGACATTCTCCCTGGATGAGAACAGCACATCTACAGCCCCCACGATGGTTTTCCCAGCTTCCAATGATCAAGTAGTGGCGGCTAGTGGGCTGATTTGTATGACCACGTCTGGATTTGCTGCCACTTTGATCGTTCTGCTGGCCATAATGATAATTTCCTGCTTGATGTCGGCGTTTTTGTGCGTCAAGTTGAAACCGTTCACTCATAAGAAAATCGTCGGTTGGGTTGGGTTTACAGCCACTCAAAAAGTGGCCGGTAAAACGGTGGCCACCTCAAAAAGCTGCTTTTATTCGTGATCGGAAGTGACTTCTTTGGTAGGCGTGTAATGTTGGCTAAATTATTTTTCAGTGTTTCAAGGCAATTTTTAAATGTGTTTAATTACACCCTGCAACTGCAACTCTTGCCGGGAAAATTTTTAGTTCTAATAGCAAATGTTCGCATTAAAAAAAAACTCCTGGTTGGAAACATGTCGCCCTTTTCTGAATCACTTTGATAAACATGTCAGCACTACCTCTTACTTTGTAATAATTTAAATAACTATAAATAACTGCACGTTGTTTCTACAGTGAATAAGTAAGTTTGCGGTACCGTTTTGCTAAGTTTAAGGTTGATTTTATTTGCTTAACACATTCCCATCGAATTATCAAAACGGTTCCAAGATTAATTAAAAATGTATTATGCGATAGCGCATAACAAAGTACTTCCATTTTTATTGGAACTTTATAGTATTTATAGTATAAGTTACCTCATAGGACATCTAATTTCCATTAGTCGAATAACAATTTCTGGGTATATAGGCTTAGTTGGGCGGCAATTTCAATGGATAACAAACACCCATTGGTTGAGTGGCTTCCATTTCAATTGCCGTAGCAGTTTTTTAAGGTAATTTATCGATTTCTACTATACAGGGCGTCATGATTTTAGCAGCATTTCAATCGTTTTCTGGTTATTAATCAGGGACGCCCTGTACATTGTGTAAATACTGTCGGACTATGGGTGGAGGTAAATTATTTATCTTTAATTGCATTAATTTATTTTCCACAACCTGTATTTTGTCTAATTATTAAAGCCACGTATTTTTTATCATGTACCTGTATAACTTAGATTTATCTTGTCCATCTTACCTGCTCTGTTTTGTTTTTATGCCGCTCTTAGCTTCAAGCTAATGAGTAAATAAAAAATCTTTTCTAATCTGATTTTTAAGGTTTTAATTGCTGTTTTTCATTCTAATGCGCTACTTTACTTTGGCGATATTTTAACTGCTAATTGTATTACTTTCAGATAAGAAGCGGGAATTCTTGGGCTCCTGCAGAAAATACACAAAAACGCATTTGACGCTTTTTAATATTTTATAGAATGGTTTGAGTGCAACGCACACAAATAAAACGAACGAAACCTACTCGTCTAATGATTTATATTCCCATTAAATATATACAAACGTGTAAAATAAATTAAATAGCCTCTTGTAGTGTAGAAGTGAATAAATATAACATATACATAATATATTAGGTGGAAACGGAATGAAACACATGAAAAAATGAAGGTCATACATGAATAAATTTGAAACCCAAAAAACACGAATTATTTAAAATTTTATTAAAAAATATCCACTCGACTGAACGAAATAAATTTCGAATCCCAATTTGACTTCATTGGGACAATAACCAAGAACCTACTAGCTAGACATTAAAGTTTAACATAAATAAACTATGCAGACTAATTAAAAAACACTAGCGGACACTCTGGTTTTATTAACAAACACTATACACGTATGGGTGTGCTATATTGTACTGATTAAATTTTAAATTATTTTTTTTCGCCGATTTTTCTGCCCAAATTCAAATAAAAAGAACTGAGCAAACAAGCAGATAAATTGGATCAGTAACGTTTAGCAAACACGTAATAAAATACTGGTGTATGATATATTTACACAAATTAATTAACGTGTTTAACAAAACACATTTCCTATACACTTTTTAATTGAAAGTTTTAAGTGATATGTGAAATCCGTGCAACTTGCTTAGAGTAAGTGATAACATAAATTAGCAATCTTTGGCCCCTAAAACAGTAAATAATTACCCACCACCGACTACTTACAAACGATTTAATATAGCTAGAATAGTTCTAATTAAAAAATAAATAAATCAACTGCTGTCCACGAGCAGATTGCTGCCTTGAGCATAAAATTGAGCAATTAACTAAAAGTTCGTTACTTTTGAGTTGAGCTTTTCTGCGAAATTATCCTATCAGCAACCTTAATTAATCGTAACCTCCCGATAGAGTGTTTTAGGGGTCAAAAAACAAAAGCAATAAATAATAAAAAATATTATTTACATTGAATTCCTACACTAAACAGTATCTACAATCTACAATAGAGGCAACATTTCTGTCGCCTTCTATATTGCAATGTTGCCCGTAAACTTTTAAATAACTGGTATTAGTTGTTTGAAAAAATAGACTTTTGTGCACCCGAAGCTCCCTAATCTCTACCACTCAGAGTTTTTCCATTCGAACTAGACGCAATGGACAAGGACGTATCCATCGTTCCATTGTGATCCGACATGCTGGATTCTGGTCGAAGAGTGGCCAAAGAAGTCGATGGCTTCAACAGCTTCAAACCGATCCAGCTGGAAAATATGCTCATGGGAATTGAGCCGTTTGGGTGTTGCTGCTGTTGCTGTTGTTGCCTTGCTATATGCTCTTTTTGAAGCTGATACCTAACAATTTTTCGTTGAATTATTTGCTACATTCTATTACCTGTATTGTGCAATTACTGTTTAAATAAGCGCCTATCAGAATTTTTGTTTTATTTTCTATTCAATTGCTTTGATTGGGGTTTTGTTCCTTGTTTAAGAATGTTGAGACACTTGGAGACTAATTGTCCGAATTCCATTCTTTGTTCAATTTCAAAATTTCTAGTGTTTTTTTTATGGGAAAGTTTCCGTTTTTGAAGCTTCCCAAAAATAGAGAGTGTTTGTATTTGGAGCTGTTAGAACTCGTCTACTGAAGCTTTCCTTTGGAAAAAGCAGCAGCCAGTGTTTGGAATTAAGCTAGATTTTCTAGAACATTAAAAAATAAATAAGCAAAGAATCCAAAAATTACCTATACAAGAGTGTTCCTGCAACTAGCGCTGAAACAACAGCTGAAACTGCAACCAGCACGAAAAGTATACTGAATCCAGGCACTGGCATGCATATCCCATAGACGACTTCCTCTCTTATCCTGCCCTAAAAAAGCCGAACAAAAATCAAATTCGAGCCTTTTTGCAAACGGATAAACTCACCTGAAACACCGTAACTGCTTCTGCTCGATTATCAGGACTGAAGGCCAAATCAGCTTCGGAAATGACCTCGTATATTCCACTGACACCAACATCTGCACTTCTGGCTTTCCTGTCGGATATCACCATTGATCTTCGTCTTCTATTGTTCTTCTCTAACTGGAAACGCAAACAGACTGTCTTTAATGGGTTTTGTTAGGTGGGTCGACAATTGCACCACAAACATCCAAAGAAGGATTTATCGTAGATGAAACAATGAGCAGTTGTGAGAAAATTCCTATCCAAATATCCATTGAGACTTGGAAAATTATTTGTTTAATTATTGGGGAAATGCTCTGTTGCGCACACCTAGAGTTGGTTGGGTGGCTCAAAACCTCACCAAAAAAAAAGGCTCCATAAACTCGCGCGTTTTTCAAAACTTGAATTTTTAAACTTACAGGAATACTAAAATAAACATGAGTCAGTAAAGAAGTAAAAAAGTAAGTAAGTAAAAACTCTTCAATATTTCCACAGCAACATTTTGCAACAGTCGTCATTCTGTGTCCACACCTTGTAATTTACTAACATTCATTAAATTTGGAAATATCATTGCAACATCAGAAATAGATTGTAGGGAACCTGATTTCACTATTGCAGGATCCATAAAACATAATTTTATCATAGTTATGATCTATATGGCGGGCTTGATTCATTTTATGTTTGAAAAAGAACTCTAAAATACGAGGTGTGCTAAAATAAAATGTCTGCTATTACCAACGTACTTTGATCACGAATGGAAATATGTCAAAGGTAATAATAGTAAACTTTACCAGTGAAACGGGAATTTCCCGGGTTTGATTAAGTTTCTCGCTGGAATTTTGCGATAATTTTCCTTCTTCCTCGGAAGATGATAGATTTACTTCTTCCAAGCTGCGTGGAGCTGCGACTGGCAATTCCAACTTCCGAGGCCCATGCGGGAATTTCTCCTGGCCCACATGGAACATTTCCTAGATAAATGTTCATCTATTTGACACAAAGTACCGTAATTTAAATCTAGCAGCTAAACTAAGCACATCAGTCCTTTTAAGCTCTTTAGCGCGTTTTATTGCACTTGAAGATGAAGATGGTGAGCCACACCAAGACTGATTAACTCAAGTGCAGCGATAAACAACTTCTAAAAGCACTTTGTCGTCTAGCGAATGCAAATAAAGTGCCGCCTACACCAGTATAGAATCGCCGATCTAAAGGGCCCGTTAAACATTTCAACTAATAAGCTGGTGAATATTAATTCGGATACAAAACGCTAGCTTAAAATCACCCATTCCATGTTAAAACAGTTATGCAAGGAATTATGCGCATATAAAGAAGTCATGAACATTTAAATGCATTTCCAATACTGGGAACTTGGGCCATAATAAACAAACATTACACAATGCAAAGTGGAGTCGGTCAGGTTTTTTTTAAATAGTCTGAGCCGCACGTAACTAGTCGATGCACCGTTTTTATGGATTTCAAATGCCTTTTAGACTGGTAATTAAAACCCATACTTTGTCTTTAATGGTTGTAATGCCGTTACATTTCGAGTTGTCTTATGTTTATCATTATTTTGCTTTTTTCGACTTTGGGAATGTGCGCCATTGGAAAATTGGAGAATGTCTGGGAATATTGTCTGTTTTTTCATAGTAATCAGGAGAAACTGGCAGTTTTTCATCCCTTTTAATTGGGGAAAATTTTCAAAAAATCTTCAAATTTTTGCTGATTTTTGGGATTTTAAATTTTCTTAAAATACGTTTATTTGTAAAACATTAATTACTTACATGATGGGGCCCCGCATGAACGTCCACTTCCTCTAAATCTAGAACATCATCAAGAACATCCTCGTCTTTATCATGTTTGTTGGCCGCGTTCGCACTTTTTTCAGTTTCCCTTAAAACATTTTCTTTCGAGTTCGCAGGGTTGGGTTTTTTCCACGATTTTTTGTTGTTCTGCTTATTCACATGGGCATTCAGGGACATTTTAATGGCTGGTATTTCCTCCCCTGCAAAAATCATGTGTGCCACTTTAATCGGGAAGAATTACACTATTTGAATACAAATAGACGCGTTCGCGGTCTTTGCTTGAAAAATTCGCCACAATTAGAGTAATTTGGAAATTTTTATGAAACTTGCCAGCATGATAGAGCATAACATGCGATTTCCACCACTGCTGTTTGTTGCAGCTATGCATGACTTCTGGTTAGAAAGTTACGAATTTTCAATTAAAAAAATCCATGTTTAAGCGCATTTTTCTCTGTATTTTGGACATTTACCCAAAAAAAATACCAAATTGCGGCAACTTTTTTTAAAATGTGCCAAATTTAGGCAATAAGTTCAGTGTAACTCACCTGAAGCTATTGCTGCGTCGTTTTCATGAATAATATCATCATAAAGCATGTCCTGCTCATTAAGCTGTTCATCCAAAGGATCCGGGGTCCTAAAATGAACAATTATTCTGTAGGTTTAGCTTGAGCATTTAAATGAGTTGCTGAACATTTCAAAACTCTCATTAAGAATAACAAAAAACGACATTCAAAGGCAGATCATCAGTAGAATGGAAGCTTAAAAAATCGCTCAATTACTTGCTGAGTACTTACCGATCTTTGATTTCAGACGAAGAAATCTTGTCGTCCTTCCTATCCAAGGGACTGTTATAGTGTTCAAAGTTTCCATCCAGATTCGGGCCTTTATTAGGCTGGAGCTGACAGTGGTCCAGACAACCGTGTCTGCAAATTTCGACTTTACATTTGATGTGCACACTCAAAGCATCAGGAAACTGCAAAAATACATTTCAATTGAACATCCTGCAGTTGAATGAGTCACTAATATTAGCGTAAATTTGCTAAAAAAAGTCTTACCTTAAATGCATGGAAAAATGCATAAGTGATTACAGAGGCTCTTTCATCAGCGCCTCTAGCTTTGAGGAATCGACTGATCATTTTCGGTCGAAGCACGCAACCGAACTCATCTGAGAGTTGAATAACGTGGCCTCCTCCATCGGAAGCAACGCAAGATTTTACCCGCATGTCAAACTCGCCTAGAAAAATCGAAAAATTGCTCTAAATAGTTATTTTTTGCAAGTTGATTCACTCTGTGCAAAGGCCTAAAATTGAGTCACGTATCCTTAACGTATTCAATCTTTTTAAGCATTCATTCGGGATACTTAATAGGCAGTAGAAAAACGATGACAGACACAATGTTAATTAAATGTAAAGAATTATATAGTTTAATAATAACGGGACCATTTGCCTTGGGTCCGTTTTTTCAACACGTGTTAACACTGTTGGGTTTTTTATGCGGCCTGCATAAATTTGCACACATTTCGATTGGCCGGTCTAGACGCAGACAATAACTTTGGCGAATTTAAATTCTATCTAGCAGATTAGTGGATTATTTGATAATTGAATTTCCGGAAACCACTGGAATTGGCAACCATTCCAGAACAATTTCCCGCCGCACATTTTCCATGATATTCATCCACTAATGCGATTCAAGCAATTCACATACGGTTTTCGCCGACGGTTTTTCTTAGAATGGCCATCGTAATGGTCAGCAGGTTTGCATTAAATTGGGCATATCAGCCATCAGTCAAGATTCGCACCACTGATAACAGTTGGTTTGCTTGTGCGCCTCTTGTTCTGCTGTTTACTGATGCCGCTTTGTATCCTGCTCCCATAACATGTTTATCGGTTTTCTTCGCAAATTATTTATTTATTCCAGTATTTTCATTTTTCCCTTACCTCGATAGTCATTGATCGCTACCACTAGCGTTAGGGTTGATCCAAGTGGCACGATGCCGCTAACTGGAGGCGCCCATGGACCTTTTCCATGCTGGATTTCCATCCAACAGTCCACGTTATCACCTGAAATAAACACACCACACTGTATATATGAGGGCCAAAAAATTCTTCCAAATTTAAAGGCTCGCAAACTTTTCAGCTTCTCGCAAGCTTGAGACTGGAAACTTACAGAAAACCGCTATCAGCAGACCCCGAAAAAATTGTTAATTCCATCCAATGTTAACCCAGGAAATTAAAATTTTCATAAAATGCACCTACAAAGCTGCAAACCATAAAAATTTCTCTCAATATGTTTGAACTTCACAGGCTTGAAATTTAGCACATAGCGAACTTCAAGAAAACGCGCGCTTGGAGCTGCAGATTTATTTAATAAATTGCTGCCTCCGCCCCTGTTGTAACCAGCAAAACTGAATTTTGGCAGTCTACACAGGGGCGGATCCAGCTTTAAATTCCGGG